CACGCATGGCTGAAACCCAATCATAATATCCAGAAAGAGTGTATCGACAACGGCACCATAGAAAGCCTAGATGAATACTAGTCTATCTACGTGATGTAGCCCTACTCAAATCAATGTTCAAATACACCTGACCCAACCGAAGCAAGTATGTCGCCGAGATCTAAATCAGCATTTGACACTCCTGTAGCCTAGGCGCATTTATAATATATTATGTCTGCCCAAAATATATCTTCACACCACCTCATACTCATTGAGGGACTAGGTTTCACTGATGTTAGTCGCTACATTGCCTCGCATACTACTGCTTTTCAATCACTTTTCGAATTGTCTAGTTGTCAGGTGTCACAGTGACAGGAATGTAACTCAAGTACAAGGTTTGGACTTTTGCGCCAACATGAGTTCTGCTACACTCATTAGCCATTTCTCTTTCTCTTCTCTATGTCAGAGGATTTCCTCATAAATAAAACTGTGTGGGGGGGGGGGGGGGCAGTGGGGATGGACGTTTCCTGAAGGTTAATAGAGGTGTCAGAACCCAGCAGCCCCTCAGGTGGAAGCTTTCGCCTGGCAGCCTGTTGTGGCAGCTAGCTTATGACAGCCAGACCAAGCCCGGTCTGCCTGTCTGTCACCAGGGACGGGGACTCTGAAGATAGGAGGGGACGGCGAGGGAGGAAATAAAGAGGTGTGTTGAGGGAGTTCAGGGGTCGCAGGTCACACTGCGGAGGTGTGAGACGAGTAGGCAGAGCACAGGAGTGAAGACCCCATAGTGTGCATGTACTGTGTATCAGTTACTGCATATTAGTTAGTTCAGCAGCATTGGACAAGTTGTTTAGAAATGAAATGAGGCATTGCGTTAACCAGCACTCAGCTTTAGCTGACAGCCGGCCGATTGAATCATCACTTCCAATCATCCACGGACTAATCACAGCCCACGCTCACTTCAAGAAGGTTCCTTTAGACAGGACGCCTCTCACAGATCCTTTCTACACTAATGCTGTTAGTGTAAAAAAGTGTTCCACCCTTTTTAGTTGAGTTCATTTCATAGCCTGAAAGGGACAAACAATGGGTTTTTTTAATGAAAAAAAATCTAAACTCCTGTCTCTGTTAGAAACCCACATTTCATGTGTGGTACCAGCTCTAAAACCACATGTTATTCAGCCAAAGGGAAATCTTGACTCTCTCCTGGAGATATTAACACTTACAAAATCTAGGGCACAGCTTTGCTCCAACAGAAAAAGCAAAAAGCAAAAAATGTCCCTTTCATCTGCAAGAGGCAATTCAGATAATGGCCGTTCAGACAAAAAGAGCGAATAGGTCATTGAATCCAACAACTGATAAAAAGGTTTGTGGAAAAAGCTCTCGAACCAAGAGGAGCAGAAGTCACTGTGCTGTGGCTGAGTGCACTCAGATAGAAACTCAGAGGCATGCAAAGCAGGACGAAGCCGTGGACACGGACCTTGAGTGGGAGGATGCCAAATGTTTAGCTTTGCTTGCATCAAAAACAGACAACTGGTAAAGTCCGCAAACAAACATATTGTGGAGATATGGAGTATAAAGCAATAGCATGGGAACATGCACACTATATGATGTACTGTAGAAGACATGACACACTAATAACTTTAATTTACCTTAAACTACTGGAACACAGTTTACTAATTTGAATGTCAATTTACAATTGTGATAACCAATTATCTTTCAACAGTAGCTCGGAGCGGTAACGTTATGATCGATACAATCATGTGATGCAGAAACTACACATTGCTTTTGTCGAGTGTGCACAGTCAGCTTCAGTGGGATACTTGATCTCTATTATATGTGGCAGTATGCATATTGAGTATACAGCGCGCTATTTTGACCCGCATAGCTTGACGAACACTTGATCCCTGTCGGAATTAATCACCAATGTCATCACATCGGAAATACGTTTTTATTAAAAAAAAAAATATATATATATATATTTATTATATTTGTTTATGAACTCAAAGGATAAGAACGTAATATTCCCGATTTCCGTGCATCACATAAAATGCCTTTTTTATTTTTAGCCATCCCTTGTGGGGTCTCATAAGCCTTTTGGGACTGGCCATATAATTACTGGTTAAGTGTACTTTAATAGATCATTAGAGGTGGAGTTGTGCAAATGAGCCTCTCATTAAGTACGTCCCTCAAGGGTGCCTGCATGTACGAAACATACGCTGACGCGCACAAAAACAGAACTTGTGCACACCCACACACAGAGAAATGAAAACCATATAATTCACGAGATCAAGGTCACCAAAATATCTTAAGGCAAAGTCTGAAGAAAACTGATGTGCTGAATTCAGACTCTTTCAGGGCAGAGACACAGACACACAAGCGCTATTAAAATCAAACACACATGGTCAGACACAAACACCGACTTCATGAGAAACCGTGCTCTTGTGCACACTAAATGGCTAACGTGAAACAAGTCTTCCCTTAGCAGAGGTGAGCAGTTTAACCAGCGGTGGGAGAAAGAAAAGACCAAAAGAGAGCAGTGGACAAACCGACTGTCCAACCAACTGGGGTAAAAAAGGGTGGTGGGGAGGAATGACGATGGCGGCGTGTGTGGCCCAAAGCGAAAAAGAAAGTCAAGTTGAATCAATGGAGCGAGTAAGTGAGAGATTGTTTGGCAAAACAATCTCTCACTTCTGAAAACCTCAAAGCCGCCATCATATCTATGCTTTAGTGTATGTCTCTTTTGCTATTCTCTCTATGTCTCTTTTATCATTTTATATGGACTTTTTAGATCCTTGCGGTGATTTTTCTTACTTTTCACATTTTGGAGCGTTCACACATGCACACAGATACGCTCACTAACAGAAAGTGTGACCGCTTGGTGTTTGTTGTGATGAAGTCCGCTTGAGCAGTGAATAATGAGATCCCGGGAGGACGATGGTGTGGCTGGTAGTGATGAACCATCCTCACCACCATGTGGATACCCTCTATAAATCGACCATCCTCAACAGGGTGTCCAGAAATGAAGCAGAAGCTCTTCAGATCAACCCGGCTCTTATTTGTTTTTGCATTGATCTCATCTCCCTAAATAGAGTGACGTACTGAGATTAGGGAGAGGGAGATGCACCATCTAAGAATCAGGCTCAATCTGTTGCGTATGGTGCAACATCAACTGGTTTACGAGGTCTCAACTGGGGATGTTCTGATGAGAGCTCAGCATTTTCAGATCTCGATATTAAGGTTTAATATCGCCATGTCTGGAATCTCCAATCAGGGGAATACGAAGAATCTCACCTGTAGGATCCTGAAATGTTCATCTCGTACGGGCTTTAAGAGCTGTTGCTAATGGGTTAAATGATTAATCCACAACATATAGAGCATTATTATAGCAAAAAACAGCAATTTGATGTCTAATATATATAATGGAGAAAGTGGCTTTTGTGTCTGGTAGTGAAAGATGGATGTTCTTGTCCACAGGCATACCTATCTCTTTATAATTACAATCCCATACAACTGAAATGCACTCTTAGTTGTGTTTCTGTTGAGGTACTGTTAATATAAATCAACATTGACTTTTCATTTCACACTGGACTAGAGGAGCAGTGCTGTTCGTTTTTTACCCATCGACCCCAGAGTTTGATGAGGACAATATTTTTGAGAAGTCAAACACAAATAGGAAAAAAAAAACCTCCTCAAACCAAGTGAAAGAACAGTTTCTTGTTTACGGGTCATCATTTCTAGGAGAGCAGACATGACGGAGGACACGTGCCTCAAAGAGTTCCTGTTGAGCTCTGCTTTTACACACAAGATGGAAGGTAGATGGAGCTCAGCATGCTGTGCAGCCAATTGGGACTCATATTGTCCCTTTTCCCCATTGCAAAGATAAGTATTTCAATGACTTTGAGTCAATTTTAAGTCATCCGTCTGAAGAACTTGGTTGAGACTTGAGGTTGAGAACTACCAGTCAGTGACGGTGACAAGAATAATGTCAAATGAGTTAGAACAATTGAAGATGCAAATATTCATTGGCATACTTCTTCACGTAAATGATAATAGAGTATTAAGAAGGGATTCTACGATGAACATTAGCTAACTTATTGTGAGTATTGTTGTACGTTATACAGTTCCATTGCAATTTTTTAGGATGCAATTCCAAAATTAACTTAATGGCGTTTTAACAAGTTATTTAATATATTGCATCCTTTCTGCATCTGCCCTTTACTTCCTCACCCCTTCCTCTCTCACTTGTCTCCCCCCTAACTTCTCTAATGTCTCCCTCCTCTGCTGACACTTCATTTATCTCTGGTCCTGACATCCCTGACTAATGATCTGCCAGACTGCTCCCCTGCCTAATCTGTTTCCCCCTGAATCATCTTGAGACGCTCATCAGCGTCCTCACGCCGCTCCCCGTCTCCAGTCAGGGGTTTTATCTTACCCACTTATGGTTCAGACAGCTTTCAGTCTCCATTTGGGGCGTGTTTGTTCAGCGTGTTGTTCGTTGACATTGAAGCAGCCCCGTTCAGTTGCCCGTCCGCCTAAACGCCCACGCGCGCACGTGTTGAGCGCGCTCGGTCACGTGTTACACTCGTCAGACCCGTTCATGCAACGGCTTGTATAACTCGGAAGTCAAACAATACAATATTATCAATCTAGAGTGAGGGGTGCTGAGGATGCATATTTTGTCGTACCACAACCAAGCAGAATTATTGCATTGCAAGTTGCAAGTCAGGGGTGCCAAATGGAACTTCAAAACTCCAAATCAAGTAAGTTAGCTGAGTAAGGTAATGACTATGAATGTATGGAATGGTTG